GCTTACCCTCCCCCCATCCTCACTGCCTGAACAGCACTCTACCATTATTTTTCTATATTGAAGGCAGTTGGCACGATAAATCCCCCAAGACGACAATACTCAATACTCCTGGCAGGATAGAATTCCGCGACCCTGGGCAGGCGCTGCATAGCGGTTTCCCCGAGGAAGGTGCCCTTATAAGGGCCCTATCAAGCCACAACTTTACGTCCCAAACGCCCGCCACGCCCGCCCGCCCACAAATGGACGACCGTTCCTGACGCTCGTATTCATTCATTTGCTAAGCAAATTATGAAGCGAAGGGATTGGTATGAAGCGGCCGTGATGCTGCATGCATACATGGGTACACATATGCAGCCGTATCTTCGGTAGCGGTGATTGGTAAGATGCCTACGGGAAACTCGTCCGAAATCGATTTACAAGTCACTGAGAACGGAGGCTTTTTCTTCGCCGGATTTTGACCGTTTCACTCCGTTCTTTCGCCATTTCCCCACTATACAGCGCCCTACTAGCATTTTAGGCTAAGTAGGAAACCATCGTGCCAACTGCCTTTAAATACCGTGGACTTACAGTACGACCCACCCCTGATTGTATTCTCACAGCGATGCTGTACCCCGTGGAGCTCATTTAGGCAGTGTCGCTTGCATGTACGGCGGCTATTTGTGATGCGGGTTCATAAGGGAAGTTGCTTTCAATGCGTTTTAGGGAAGGGAGCTCCTTTAGGCAGTGAGCAAAACTCGGCCGCTCCCAGTTTTTTGCTTGTTTGTGACCTTACCGGTGCCAGTCACGCTCACCAAACACTATCCCGACCGAAGGGCCAGAAGTGCGAAAAACGACCAAGCCTGGTTCAGCTGCCGAGCACTATCTCGTCAGCTTCTCAGCTATTTAGGCGTTACATTCTCATTGAATTGTCTCGTTTCAGTTTGTCCGTGAATTTGTGAAAATGGATGGAGTATTTGTGCTGCGAATGATCACCATTCACTCGGGTGTTCTAATCTGTACTGAAGTGGTTGACACGATGTGGGATCAGTTCCTCGCTGAGCAAGGTAAGCTTCGCTGACCATGACCATCTCGTCGAATGTTCGCTCATCCAGCTAAACTTTTAGGCCACAAGGTGATCACGTCACTGTTGAGCGATGGCCGTAAGTTTTCACTGAACAAATCATTACTAACTGTACTGCGAGAACCTCCTTACCTTACGGGTGTGGGTCGTCACATCCACATCCCGGAAGAACAATAGCTAGCGAACTTTTGTGACGCCTATCGGCCTTTGAAGGGTCATTTCGTACTTTCGCTAGTTCCTTTTCTAGACCATTCCAAATTTCGGCTTGATTCAAGCTTGATGGCACTTTTAGGCCATCAAGCTTAGGTGTAAGCCCTTCTAGGCCTGCAAAGTGATGAAACTAAGCCGCATCGGTGACAAGGATCCACAGGTTGTCTGTGAAAGCTCCCTGATTTCTGCTGGTGCCCTCACCAAGCCCAACTGCACCATTTCTCCTATTTAGTTGACTCAAGATGATGCAGCAATCCTACTTTGAAGATAAATTGCACCTTCACCTCCGTGGATCCTGTATTTGCCGCTCTTGGGAAGATTAGCTCTGTAGGTGCAGTACCGTGCCACTTTCTCCGGTCAGAAAAGGAAACAGGGCTGGAGGGTATCGATGCTCGGATGCGGTCTCCA